AAAGAAAAAATGCTGAAGATTAGGACCTGGTAGGGAAAGATTAAGAATAATAATAATAAGGAGAAAAAGTATTAATAATATTGTATTTTTTGAAACGGACAAATAGAAAGAAACTAACCACCAGGAAAAAGAAAGCAGAAAAGAAAAAAAGAAAAAATCTGTGGAGGACTGGGTAGGACACCCAGGCTCTGTCTGAGCATACAGACTGTGATGGAGTTCCTGTGGGCCCAGAAGGTAGCTGCGAGTGGGAATGGCCACACCTCTGTTCACCAAGCGGGTGTAGGGTGTAGTAAGAAGAAGAATGTCGTACCTTTTCAGTCTTGCAGGCCCCGAGTGTTCTTTGGGTTGCTGGAAAGCAGAACATGTTGTTAATCCCCAGAAATCTGCGAGAGCGCTGTCTCTTTAAATATCCAAAATAGTCAAGCCGCTTTTTATATCTTCAAAATGGCGGTGCCCTCCGGAACCTCAAAAGTCCACAGCTCAGCCCACCTTTCTCTTCACCTTCTCCGTTAGTTCCCCAGCCACCGTGTACAGTCCTCTGTGCAGTCTCTGGCTAGTAGGGGGATTTTTTAGGTTAATTCTTAAGTCCTACCACCACAGGAATCTGCGAGAGCGCTGTCTCTTTAAGTATCCAAAATAGTCAAGCCGCTTTTTAAACCTACAAAATGGCGGCGCCCTCTGGATTGGCAAAAGTCCACAACTCAACCCACCTTTCTCTTTACCTTCTCTGTTTGTTCTCCAGCCACCGTGCACAGTCCTCTGTGCAGTCCCTGGCTAGCAGGGTGATTTTTAGGTTAATTTTTAAATCCTACCACCACAGGAATGTGTGAGAGCGCTGTTTCTTTAAATATCCAAAGTAGTCAAGTAGCTTTTTAAACCTACAGATTGGCGGCATCCTCCGGACTGGCAAAAGTCCACAGCTCAGCCCGCCTTACTCTTCACCTTCTCTGTTTATTCCCAGCCACCGTGCACAGTCTGTGCAGTTCCTGGCTAGCAGGGTGATTTTTGGGTTAATTCTTATATCCTGCCACCACTCGGGAATCTCCAAGCTGTTTGTGTCATTCGGGTTGCTCAGGTTGCTGCTACACCGCAGCTCTATTTGTCTCCCTTTTTGGTATTTTCACGCAAATTCTTTTGATAGTTGGGGTTTAGTCCATTTCTGTGTCCTTCCCGTCAAGGCTCAGGGGTCCAAGATTATCTTCTTTGTCTCTGTTAATTGGTTTCCCTTTTCTTTGTTGAAGAGGGTCTGTGCAGTCCTTCTGCCTAGTCCATCATCTTGTCGGAACTCTCCTCTTTCCATAACTTTTATGTTTTTTTAATTTTAATTGTGATTTGGGTGAAAATTTACTGAGCAAATTCATTTTCCATACAGCAGTTCACATACACTTTGTCTCATGACATTGACCACAATTCACCACAATACAACATTCCCCTTGTACTTCCTCCCGGCAGTCTACCAAACCTTTTTATATAGATAAATACATTGAACAAAAGATGATGCTTCTTATACCTTCTTTTTGTTTTTCCAGCATTGGATTAAATTGTGCTCTGGGTGCAGCTGAAATGAGACCTTATGTTGAAACGATTGGAAAATGTACCACAGCCTATGTGCTCTGTTACCCGAATGCAGGTATGTGTCTCAGAGTGGACCTCTTATGGGGAAATACAAATGTACAAACATGGAGAAATATGGTAGCAGGTCTTGATGGTAATAGTTTATTTGTAGGTCTTAGGAGAAAGGTGACGCTCAATCAACATTTTATAGGTGTAAACATTTTATTTGGTTCTAGATCAGTGTTTCCCTGTAGATAGAAGGGATAGTTGAACCTTGCCTAAAACCTTCGGAATTGGGCATAGCTTCAAGTGTGGCGCTTAGTCGTATAACTGACCAGTTGTTGGTGATAGTGCTAGCCAGGTAGACATGGCCAAAGAGATGGGTCCAAAGAAGAGGAGAGGGAGCCCTGTTCTCCTTTACAGTATATTGGCTCAAAAGCAGCAGAAAAATCCCATGTGTTGTTTCTTTTTGTCTTTCTGAAAGCTAGGACTTCTAGATTACTGTATGTAGAAATCCCTAAGATATTTGTAGACAAGTCCGAAACTATCCAGTTAAATATTGGTAATGCATCTTGGTTAATTAAATTTCCTGGTGAATGGCTTTGAGCACTGCTTAGCTACTCAGAGCTAAAATAATAATTTCCCAATCTTCTTTCTCTAAATTTATACATTTTAATGTACAGTAAAGTTTCTTTCCCACCAGCAGTAAGATAACTAGAAGAAGGTAATATATGAAACAGAAAATTAGATAGTCATACTTGGGATTGTTTATTTGAAAGAGGACTGGTGTTTTTCATTTGTTTTTAATAGCGTATCAGATCCTCATTCATTCAAAGCGCATCAGTACCCTCCCTCTCATTCCCAAGCAGGTAGGTGACAGGGAAGACTTTGCTTTATTATTTATTAGAAGAGGGTGGGGTGGGAGGAAATCTCTCCCATACAGCAGTGACTCTTCTTTCAAATTGCTTTTTATTTTTTTGGTATGATTTTTTATTTTATGCGTGGCATTTGTAATCACTATATAAATATTAGGAGCTCTGGTAGCATAGTGCCTGAGGTATTTGACTGCTAGTGAGAAGCCTGGTGGTTCAAAGCTACCTCCCAAGGAGGAGTCGTTGTGAGTCAGATCCAGCTTGACAGCAGTGAGGTTTTGTGTGTGTGTGTGTGTGTGTGTGTGTATATTAAAAAATTAGGGTTTTTATATGTATGTAAATATTAAGGTTTTTA